TCCTTCCTTCCTTCCTTTCTTTCTTTCTTTTTGGTTTTTCGAGACAGGGTTTCTCTGTGTAGCTTTGTGCCTTTCCTGGAGCTCACTTGGTAGCCCAGGTTGGCCTCGAACTCACAGAGATCCGCCTGGCTCTGCCTCCCGAGTGCTGGGATTAAAGGCATGTGCCACCAACGCCCGGCTCAGCTTCTTTATTAAACCAACCACAGCAATATATATTCAAACAATGTAAAGAAATATTCCACAGAATCTGTCTGTGAGGGAATTCCTAGTGATGTTTTACTAAGGAAAAGAGTTGCACCCTGAACATGGGGCTTCCCATAGGTGAGAGCCCCATATTGAATTAAAGAAGGATGGAATGAGAGGAGAGCCACCATCCATCTCTCTCTGCTTCTTGGTTGTGAGTGCAATGTGATCAGCCATCTCACCCTCCTGCTCCCTCAGCTAAAGCCTCTTATCACATGCTGACCTACACCTTAAACCATGAGCCAGAACCAACTCTTTCACTCATGAGCTTCTCTTGTTAGGCATTTTGTCACAATGGTGAGATACAAAATGGACAAAGGGTCATTTGTTGAATATTTAAGACAATAGGCTTCAAGAGATCCCATTTATTAATTGTTGCTCTCAGTGTCTGTGCTACTGGTGTTATGTTTAGGAAGTTATCCCCGGTGCCAATGCATTTAAGATACTTCCTACTTTCTCTTCTATCAGGTTCAGGGTAACCGGATTTATGTTGAGGTCTTCGATCCACTTGGATTTAAGTTTTGTGCATGGCGACAGATGTACCTCTATTTGCAGTCTTCTACATGTTGACATCCCATTATGCCAGCACCATTTGTTGAAGACAATAGGCAGCAGCACTTGGTCAACAGATCAGCTCTGACACAAAGGAGAGGTGAAGTAACTTTAGTAAGACGATCCCAGAAACTCTACCCTAAACTCTCTGTGCAGGCCAAGATGAAGGAACCAAGAATCTGGACCAGGGGCATGGCTCAGTGGTGGAGTGTTTTGCCTGGTGTGTGCAGGGCCCTAGGTTCAACTCCCATTATCAGGAAAGCAAGCAAACAAACAAAAGCACAGAAATAAATCCTCACCGAGTGAAGGGAGCACCAACAGCTAGTGGAAGGTGCCTTTTAATCATGGGGCTTTTGAGGGAGGTGGTTTCATTCATTTTTTTTTTTTCTGGTGAGGATAGAAAATGATAGTGGGCTGTGGGATCCAGCCTCTTTACAGGAGGCAAGTAGATTATGTCAACTTAGATGGGGATAAAGAGGGCAGTGAGTAAGGAGCTATTAACTCCAGACTGAAGTGCCTACAGATAAATCAACCTCTCAAGTGTCCTCCTTCCTCTGCGGTGGTGCTGCCCAGCAGCTAGTACTTTAGTGTTCACTTTGGGGTGCCTGCTTGTCACCGAACACAGAGATTGTCATCATTTTAGTTGAGAATGGCTGGAGCAAGTGTGGATTTTACAAACACTGATGTAGCGACTTTAAAGGCAATGAACGATTGCTATGATGAATTTACAAGGGTATATATACATACATGATTAACATGTACAAATATGCTTAGCATTGAGCAGAAAAATATTCGCCTCATTTCCTCCCTGTTGTGAGAGTGGATGTTTAAGACAGATTGAAAGTCAGCTATGCCCCTCTCTCTCCATTTATTCTTCAGCCTTGTGGCTCATTGTTGCAATAAGACTTCCATCTACTTTTAAAACAGATTTTTAAAGATCGATGTCTCTGATCTGTGTTATGTAATAGTCTTTCAGCATGCTCTTAGTAGGATAAAGTTAATAAAATCAGGGAAGGTCATTTCTATGGCTGTGATAAAACAGCATGACCAAGGCAACTTATAAAATAAAGCCTTTAATTAAGTTTCGGAGGGTTGGAGTCCATGATGGCAGAGCAAGAGCACAGTTAAGAGCTTGCATCTTGATTGGCAAGAGGGAGAGAGGGAGGGAGGGAGGGAGAGAGAGAGAGAGAGGGGAGAGAAAGGGTGGGGAGAGAGAGAGAGAGAGAGAGAGAGAGAGAGAGAGAGAGAGAGAGAGAATTTGGAATGGTGGAAGTCTTCTGAAACCTCAGAGCCCACTCTGAGTGAAACACCTCCTCAGACAAGGTCACACCTTTTATTTCTTCCCAAACTGTTCTGTCAACTGGGGACCAAGTATTCAAATACATGAGCCTGTGAAGGTCATTCTCATTGACACCAGTGCAAACACTGAGCTATCATATGTAGTACAATGGGTAAGCAAGTTTAGATGTTGCCTCTAATCTACTTAAAAGCTGGGTGACGTTGAGTAAGTCACTTCACCTTCTGTGCCTCAGTCATTTAATTTTTATTTAAATTATTTATTTATTTATTTATTTATTTTTATTTATTTATTTGTGGTTTTTCGAGACAGGGTTTCTCTGTGTAGTTTTGGTGCCTGTCCTGGATCTCGCTCCATAGACCAGGCTGGCCTCAAACTCACTGAGATCCTCCTGGCTCTGCCTCCGTGAGTGCTGGGATTAAAGGCATGCGCCACCACTGCCTGGCTCATTTAATTTTTAAAAGGAACGAAATAATCATATTTTTCCTAATGGATTATTTGGAGGATTAAATTAGAGAATACATATACATTACTCAGAACTGTGGCATACACAAATCCAGGAGAGTAGTTACAGTTTGGACTCTTGGTGATACTCTTATTAAATAATAGAGTAACTAAGGGCAGTGGCTGGAGTTGTTTTATATGGTTTTAATATCAAGCTGCTTTCCAGCTCTTTGTTCACCATAAAAGTTGCTAAATAATAGCAGAATACTATTTCCACAGTGTTCAAATTGACTTTTCTTTGTCTTCTCAGAAATTTCATTTCTGTATATTTCTTTAGATGATCAGAACTCTTCCTTTACAGATGTCACAGTTTTAGGCCAATAATAAATGGCCAGACAGATGTAGAACCACCATGAAGATAGTGGATAGGTCTTGCTTCTGTAGAACTGACATTGGATCAGTGGTCAGAGAGGAAGTGAGGGTATATGTATACTGATATCAGAAATACTTGGGAAGGAAATAGTGCAATATGATAGGAGAGTGACTTAGTGGAAGAGAGAAGGGAAAATCTGATTGGCTGCTGACACCTTGCTGAACAGATCTTTAGTTGGCGGGGAGGATGAAGAAGAGGCATGCTTTTAAGTTTTATTTAGTGTAATAGACTCATTGTGGATCATGGTTTCCTTTCCAACAAGTTGCCTAGACCAATGTTCCTCAAAAGAATCATGAGAGAAACAGTTTATAGGATTTTAAGATGGTTTTATAGGTACCAATATTGTGTACCACAACAGGAAGAAATAAATAGCATTATTTTTACTACCATATTCAACACACTACACCAAAATGTTTCAACGTGTTACTATATGTAACAGTTGGCCCATAAAATGTTTTATGGCCTCTCAGATGAGCACACTTTTTGCATAAACATTTTTTTTATTATTTTTAATTAGGTGTGTGCCTGTACGCAAGTATGGGTATTTGAGTGTGGGTACCAGCTGAAGCCAGAGGTGTCAAATTTCCCTGGAGCAGTAGTTGTAGGTGGTTGTGAGCTGCCCCATGTGGATGCTGGGAACCAAACTCAGGTCCTCTGGAAAAGCAGTATCTGCTCTCAACCACTTAGCCTTCACTTTAGACCAGTGGTTCTAACCTATGGGTCATGAACCCTTTGCGGGGTGTGTGTGTGTGTGTGTGTGTGTGTGTGTGTGTGTGTGTGTGTGTGTTAGAGAGAGAGCATGTGTGTGCGTGAAGTGTGAATCTATTTAGTCTTAGCAAATAAAAACATGGAATCAGATATCGAGGGTGAAAGCTGTGAAAGATAAGAGAAGCAGAGCAATCAGCCATTAGAGAGTTCTTACTTCTATGAATCCTCAGACCAAATGGGCCCCAGATCCTGTCTCTACCTGCCTAGTGCTGGGATTAAAGGCATGCACCCCATCGCCTGGCTCTGTTTCTCTTTTAGACTGGTTCAATCTTGTGTAGCCCAGGGTTGAATTCCTGCTTCCTCTTCCCATGTGCTGAGATTAGAAGTGTGACCCACCACTGCCTGGCTTCTATTGTTAACTCGTGTCTAGCTCCACCCTCTGATCTCCAGATAAGATTTATTTGTCTGAACACAAACAAAATAACATACAATGTGTGTGTGTGTGTGTGTGTGTGTGTGTGTGTGTGTGTCCACTCTCGCCCATTTTAGTTGCTGATTTTTGTCAATGTTTAATCACAAGAGGGCAATAAATGCTATTTTCATACCTTGTTGATTTCTGATACACATTTGTATTAAAGGATGCATCTTTGTTTCTTTGCCTCTTGCTGTGATAAAATAACCTGACAAAGGCAAGTTAAGGAAGAAAGGACTTATTCTGGCTCACAGTTCCAGGCCACACTGTGTGTAGGGAAGGTGTAGCCACTGGAGCTTGAGGTAAGTGGTCACACCATGTTCAATGTCAAGAAAAGCAAGGAGTGATGATTACTTCTATTCAGATCATTTCTCCTCTTCATACAGCCCAGGGACCCAGTCCACAAGAATGGTGTTGTCACCTACATTTAGGCTCACCTGACCTACTCAGGGCGTATCTTGAGGCTGACCTAATCTAGAAAGTCCCTCACAGGTGTGCCAGTAGACTTGTGTTTTAGGTAACTCTAGATACGGCCAAGTTCAACACCTGTAGCTAAAGTTTTCCTGGTCCTGCCCAGCTTCCATGGCCCTGTGGTTACTTGGGCCCAAGTAAACACACAGAGGCTTATATTAATTAAAACTGCTCAGCCTAGCTCAGGCTAACTATTGACTAGCTCTTACACTTAAATTAACCCATAATTCTTATTTATGTTTAGCCACGTGGCTTGGTACCTTTTCTCAGTTCTGCCTTCACATCTTGCTTCCTCTGTGTCTGGTTGGCAACTCCTGACTCAGCCTTCCTGTTCCCAAAGTTCTCCTCCCTGCTTATACTGCCTATACTTCCTGCCTAGCTACTGGCCAATCAGCACTTCATTTATTAACCAATCAGAGCAACACATTCACAGCATACAGAGCGATATCCACAGCAAATACCAACATTAATCATCACAGAGTGGTTATACTATTTACTTACTGTTCCTGTTTCATTCTTTCTCTTTAGTGAGCTTGGGACCAATACTAGCCACAACAATAACCCCATCACCCAGCACAGGGAACTGGTACAAGGTGTGCTCTGTTGAGTAAAGTATTAAAAACATGATAAAATACATAAAATTATAAATAGGGACAAAGTATTAGAAGACTATTTTAGACACTATTTTAGCAGTAGAAACAAAGATGCTGAGGGGAAGAGTCATAAAACACCAAGACTTGTTTGAAGAACTGCAAATAGTTAATACAGCTAAAATGTTGAGGGCATGGCAGGTCAGAATGTAGGAGGTAAGGCCCCAGAAGTAGGTATGGTACTTTGAGATGTGGGCATAACCACACTTTCAGGTTTTATCTTGAAAGCTCTCAAGTGCTTACAAGGGCCAGACAGTAAGAACAGTACCAGGTACAAGATGATGGAATAGAATTGTCTATTCCTTGTGTGCAAGAGGGCAGTCCTGGAAGACAGAGTTCTGATGAACTGGAGAGAGCTTACTTACAGTTGATTATTGCAACCTAGTTTCCAACTGAGGGAGAGTACAAACGTTTCCTCAATATAAGAAACCCTCACAAATTAGTCATATACATCCCCATAAATAAAATTAAAAAAACCATTTTGGTAGTCCACATTCTCTAGTGAGAAGCCAACATAGTGATAAACAATAAATAGTAACATATATTAAATAATAAATAATTCATGAAATTAGCAAATGTTAAAATCATGGTAATATCAAATAATTTTAGAGATAGGAACAAAATGTCATACCATCTTATACTAGAGAAAATCTAAATTATTATAGAGCTTCTCAAAAGCAATTTAGCATTAATGATTGACTTAAGCATATATATATATAACACTACACTATCTACACTATGGTCTGTTACAGAGACTTAAGAATTTCACCTTTAGGAAGCACAAAGAAATTAATAGTAATTTTGATGCATGTCTTAGAAAAGGGATTTGTCAGAAAACTACAGATTACAAATTAAAACAAATTCATAGTTTAAAAGGTGATCTTAGGAAAGATAAGCTACAGGGTCCTGGCCTTTACTGCAGTGTGCTTTTGAAACCCTGGCTCCATGGATTTTTATCAGGCTTGGCTGAAAAGGACTAAAGGGGTTATTAGCCTGTTAGCTGGAGACACGGTTGGTTTAAACAAAATTAACCTTTTTTTTTTTTTTTTTTAACTGTAGAACTTTTCTCAGAATTTGTGTACCTTGTGAGCCTTCTGAGTGGGCTCTTGTAGTAAGCATTTCAAATGCTATTATTAGAATTGCAAATGTAGATTTTTTCAATGAGTTTCTCAAATGATTAATGTTCCCTGGGTTCCATATTGGGAGGATGGTGTCTTTCACAGAGTCAAACATGTTGTGAAGTGGGGTTTTGAGTGGATAAATGTATGAACTGCTCTGTTTCTCCAGACAACCAAAAGCAGGCTGCAGAAGCTCAAACATCTGGTTCCATTCCCACTCCTATGGCTCATACTTTTCCTCGATGCAGGGTTAACTGAAGCTGTATCTCCAGGCGTATAAACTTGTGGTCCTTTCCCAGCCAGGAACCATGACTCTTGCAATCATTTACCTAATATAATCAGACTGTAGCACCAATCCGTATTTGCCTCACCTTCTGGGGTCCTTGCAGCTAATCATATTTCTGTGAAAGATGCTTCTGCACTGAGGACCCGAGGGACGTTCTTCTTGGGAAGAGACAATGGAAGAATGGCTTCCCAGTTCAGACTACAGAGAGAACACCTGGCCATCTGCAGTTGGGCGCTTCTATGAACGAGCACATTAAAATGTATTGTCTTCTTCTCGGGGCTGCCGCACGTCAGTTCATAGCACTGGCGTGGTGCTTAGGAATTATGAAGGCAAGGCAGGAGGGGACGCAGGTGGTGGGAAAGATGAGAACTGTGAGTACTCCTCACAGCAAAGAACAAAGTGTTCACTCGGTGAATCTTGCTGATTGCAATCTCCTGGCTGACTTTTGTGAGCTTCAGTTATAATTAAGTTCCATATATTTTATTGATATTAGTGACCTGTCAGCATTTTGGGGAACTAAGTGCTAAGCATGGAATGTAATAACACTATTTATCTTCCACATAGGTGCATTTCAGGGTGATGGATAAAGATAAGTCAAGAGCGCCCACACAATTTCATGAAACTTCCATTTGTCTTTGCTTTTAAGAAAGTACAGAGAAGGATTTTTTCCCCCTCTCATTTTGCTCAGCAGAAACAGCAAAGAAAAATGCTTAATGGAAAGCAAGTCTGCCCTGAAGAAATTCTTGCGTAAGAGCTTTTAGATCAATGCTCAAAGTAATGCCACACTCCCAGAAATTGACCTTTCTCTGGCTGTACGTGATATACTCTCATAGGGTGGAACTAGGCTTGTTAACCTTTCACTTTATAGTGATTCCCGGTGGTCTAGAGAGCAGCAGGCTTAGATGAAGCACACTGAGTTTGGTTCTAGTTCCGTCTAAGTGTGCAGACTTAGACAAGTCCATTCATCTCTCGGATTGTTTCTTCTCTTACCTGAAGAATAGTGAGAAATTGGCTAGACCGTGTGCGTGCATCCTGTACTCGTAATCTGTCAGGCCTTGGGCTGTGAAATGGAGATATTTTATCTTGCTTAGTTCTCAGAGAATGAATACAAGAAGAAAAGCGTCCCCATTGTAAAGAGGGGAAACTGGGATCTGGAGAGAATGGATGGCTTGTCCGAGGTCACAGAGCTAGTGAAGTGGCAGGAGATGTACAAGATGTAACCGCCTTCAAAGCCCTGGTACCACCGGCTACTCTGAAGTCCCGAGAGTAAGGAGCCACGATGCTGACTGAGTGCAAGTGGTAATTAGCCAATCTTCTCTCCATGTGAAGCAGAACCCGAGCAGCCCCGAGTAGCTCCTTCCGAGGTCACATCCTCAGGAAATAATAAGAAAAAAAAAAAAGGAGTATTTCTTAATTGGAAGATTACCCACACTTAGAGGGCTTATGCTTGGTTGCTAACAGAGGTGCAAAGTTGAATATAGGAAAAACATCAGGCTTATCTTGCCCAAGGGCTGTGCCTTTTAGTCCACACTGTTCTCTATCTCCGGCCCTGCTGCTCAAAAGCTGACAGCTGCGTGTTTCACAGCCTCTTCCAGCAAATCACGCTTTTCTCTGCCTGTAGTCGTGCATTTACTCATCTCCATGGAAGATTCTTCCCACAGCTATCCCCTTCCTGTTCTCCACGACTTTGTTCAAATGTCAACCTGTACTAGAAATCCAGCCTGCCTAGTTATTTAGCTTATGCTTTGTTTGTTTCCTGGTGAGTTGTTTGCCCTTCTCAACACATTTTAATGCCCTGGGCTCTATAGTTGACTCACACAATGCAAGGCTCTTACTGGAGCCCTGTTCGTTAGTTAGTGCTTAGTAAGGGAGATTGATGTGAGAGCTTTGGGGAGACTCCTGAAGCCTAGGCAGGGCCTTTAGTTAGGAGGCAACTGTTATTCTATTAGTCTTCCAGTCATCTGTATCTGAGGATTGTGGGAGTACAATTCTTATCTCTACATTTATGAACAGGCTTTTCTTTTTGTTCTCTTGTTTACTCGCTACTCAGATGACTACCAGGCACCCTTGGGGAAGGATAAAGTCATGAGAAAGAGCAGGATGGTTGGAGTTACCCAGAACTTGGGTTCAACTCAAATTATGCTTCCTACAATGTGACCTTGGCTATGTCCACATATAGCTACCTAAGCCTAAGCTTCTTCATATATACAGTACTTTACAGGATTATCTGAGCTTAATTAAGATGTTTGTGAAGAATTTTAAAACAGCATTTGGCAAACTCTGTGTTATTTAACTTCCTTGGAAATAAGTTTTGGTCTCAACGGATGCTGCGTGTTAGTTGACTGCTGTTTGATTTACTGCTCTTGGAGGGAAAAGTAGACAGAAGAGGAGAAAGTGATTAATTTTTGATGGGGTTGTGAATTCCTTGTAGGCCAGAGTTTTTGTTAGATCTAACATCACAATCACTGATACTAGGCTGTTAGCTAACACATATGAAAAAATAATTCAGGTAAAGATGTTTAACAATGTTGTCAATAACTGGGCAGAAAACTTCAGAAGTCTTAGGGATTGAATGAATTAGAATACTGCCCTGAAAAGTACATACAACAAACATCTCATGAAATGATTAAAGAATAGAAAGGCATCAGAAGCATGAAGGTCGTATGGTGGCTTCCCTTTAGGAAGACAGTCTCTAGATCCCAACATTTCTGGATCATGTCCTGAAGCTTTGGGTTTAGAAATTCAAATTATTGTGTGTTGCCTTGAGTATCTGATATATATATTCTCATATTCTTGATATTGTGATATTGTGATATTGTGTTCCCCCAAATGTTGTGCACCCTAATAAACTTATCTGGGATCAGAGAACAGAAGAGCCACTAGATATAGAGGCCAGAAAATGGTGGCACACACGCCTTTAATCCTAGCATTCCAGAGGCAGAAATCCATATGAATCTCTGTGAGTTCAAAGCCACACTGGAAACAGCCAGGCATGGTAACAAGAGCCTTTAATCCCAGGAAGTGATGGCAGAAAGCAGAAAGGTATTTAAGGCGTGAGGACCAGGAACTAGAGCTGGTTAAACTTTCAGGCTTTCAAGAAGCAGTTTACTGAGATCCATTCAGATAAGGACATAGAGGCTTCCAGTTTGAGGAAACAAGATCAGCTGAGGAATTGCGAGGTGAGGTGGCTGTGGCTTGTTCTGCTTCTCTGATCTTCCAGCGTTGACCCCCAGTACCTGGCTCCAGGTTTGTTTTTATTAATAAGTCCTTTTAGGATTCATGTTACACTCAACATATTCCATTTCTTGACTATTAGTAAAGCAGGAGGAGTGCTTCAAAGAAGGGATGTATTTTTCTTTATTCAGGAAAAGATAGTTCTTCCAGTAGCTAAGGGGCTAGGGTGGGACTCCCCGTGGTAGAGCTCGTGCCTAGCACAATGCAGGTCCTTGTTTTGGTTGATCTCTAGTCTGAAAACAAAAATTCAAATGCCAAAAAAAAAAAAATTGTAAAATATAACATAAAAACTTAATCAGACCCTAAATAAAATTCCCTTAGCTTAAATCTTCAGATGGAAGAATGATGTATGTTACATATGTCAAAGGTACAGTATGGACATATCCTTTATGGAGAACAATACAAATGATGAGACTGTAAATAATAAAGAACAAACTCAATCAATAGATAAAAGTTACCAAGTGATTTGTCTCTTTGCTGAAGGCAATAAGAAAGACCATTCTAAAGAAAAGTTGAAATAGTCTCAACTTGTCAGAAAGAAAGTTTTTGTGCAGTATGATAACACACTGCTTTCTTCTGAGCAAATGATTTCAGTGGTATTTTATCCCAAGGGCAGTGGTTTTCAACTTTCTTAATGCTGCGACCCTTTAATACAGTTCGTCATGTAGTGGTGACCCTAATCATAAAATTATTTTTGTTGCTACTTTATAACTGCAATTTTGCTGTTGCTATGAATCACAATGTAGTTTTGTTTCATTTTTTTGCAGATAAATGTTTGTCAAGGGGGCCGTGACCCACAAGTTGAGAACCACTGCACTAGAGTCTACTGGAGAAAGGGTCAATGTTGTAAAAGTGCAATGGTTTGTGGAGCTACCACATAACAAGGGCAAGCAGAGGCAAAGTTGGACATGTTTCCCACATGGGAGTGAGATCACATGTCATTGGTACTCAGCTGACTCTTTTATTATTTTTAGTGGTGATTCTGGGGGGTGAGTCCAGGGCTTCATGTATGCAGCATAAGTACTTTGCCTCTGAGCTGCACTCCCTGCCCAAGCTGATTCTTTTTCTAATGGGAGTTTATGAAAGGGTCACTCTCTTTGTTCCATTTATTTATAAGTACTACTATCATTCCCATGGTTTAATTACTTTAATTATTTGAGCCTTTCTATTGGTGAGAGAAACGATAAATTGCCAACTTTCAAAATTAATTTCTAAAATTATCTCAATTGTATATATTAATGGGATTGAGTATGATAATTTGATTCTTGTATGTGATATGTAATGATGAAATAGGGGTCTTAATGTGTACATTTCCTAAAATATCCTCTAAAACTAATTTTTGATGAACATAATTGCTCATATTTATGGGCTATGATGAAATATTTCAATATATGAATTCAACATGTCGTTATCTCATCAGGATGATCAAGCTGTCCATTTCTATTTCCACTTTATGTTTGATACCTAGGCTCCAGCCATTGTCTTGAGAAATTCTACGCTCTGAATTTCAGAATTTTAGTAATCTATTCCCCTTCTGTTGTGGGCTGTTAGTGTTTCTGGTGCATAGACCCCTTTTATTTTTTAAAAAAGAGTTGCATTATGATCAGAACTTCAGTTTCAGAGTCAAACTTTCAAGGTTAGGCTATCAGAGCAAAGCTCTAGACAAGAAAGACAACCACAGAGTCAAACTTTAAAAATTAATTTTGAATTGCTTTGAAAGCAGAATGAAAGATGTTGAATTCTCCAGCCCCTGATCCCGACACCCTCACAGCATCCAGGTGCCCAGGAGTGGATCAATAGTTTTATATTTTGTTGGCCTTCTGTGATGGCTAATGAAGCTGTGTCTCTCACTAAAGAAAAACAGCTAATGTAATGGAAAGACAATTATAAACAAGTAAATTATCGGAATTGAACAGAAAACCAATTTTAAGCCACAGTTTCTCCTCTGTACAAAGTTTTCTTGTTTGCTGAGAATCATCTAACACTGTGAACAAATTCAAAATAATCAAGTCCAGTGTCAGAGTATTTGACATTAAAGAAAAATTCACTCTTTACCCAGTCACTTGGAAACCAATTATCAGACCAGACAAAGGAATGTTTTTCCCTCAGCACAAAGGCAAGATTTAAAGTATGATAGTTGCCCATGTTTTATGGTGTTTGCTTTTAAACCAAAGAACATGCACCTCATTTTCAAATTTAATAAAAATGTAGCACTTGATAAGGGCAAATCATAGACATTTTCTGAGCACAGGAAATTCCCTGCAGATCATAGTCGTAAGAATAGCCCAGGAACAGTAGTAGAAAGTGAAGATGTGATCCTTAACTCTTCAGTCTGAGGAAATGTGGCTACCCACCAGTAAGTCAAAAGTTTCGTACATTTTTAGATGTTTGGCAAATCAGAGCTATGTGTTGCTATCATAATGACATGCTTTGCTGTTTAAAAAACCAGACAATCTATTTTATCAGATAAAGACGCTTTGTATGAAAAGAACACTTGGTACTTTCTGTTCTCCTAAATTTATTGTAAACCAGGCACATTTCCCACTCCTCAGCTATGGCCCCCACCATTTATGTGTGTGTGTGTGTGTGTGTGTGTGTGTGTGCACGCGTGTGTAAAGGTGTATGTATGCATTTGTGTGGGTGTGTGCTTGTGTCCATGTGGGTGAACATGTATGTGAATATCAGAGGTTAACACTGAGCATACTCTTTGTTCTCCACTTTGTTTTTTAAGACAGTGTCCTTTACTAAATCTGGAGCTCATAAATTTGCTCAAGGTAGCTGCCCAATGAGCTCCCAAAGCTCTTCTTGTATCCACTCTGCAGCTCCTCAGCCTCGCTGTTACAGAAGGGTGCCACCTTGCTAAGCATTTACATGGGTGCAGGGGAGGCGACTGAGGTTCGCCTGACTGTACAGGCAGAACCTTGCTCCCAAACTGAGTCCCAAACATCAGGATATTTATTTTTAGCTGGGAAAGGGGTCGCGCTAATACATAAATGAATCTCAAAAATGTTCCAAGTGAAGGAAGTCAGACATGAAAGATCGTCTTCTGTATGACTTCATCAGTTGTCCAGAATAGGTAACACCTAAGAGACAGAAAGTAGAGTGTGGATTGCTAGAGTAGGGAGTGTGGGGTTGTCTTCAGGGATGATGAAGTATTTGGGAATTAGATGGAAGTGGTGTTGATTCATTTCTGCTGGTACCACCAGGCTTAAGGGGCAGGGTTGGGGTGGGATGGGTGAGCAGGGGAGGGGGTCCGTCTCCTGACTATTTAGTGCACGGTGAATGAATTAAATGCTTGCCCCTGAGTTGTTGGCCTTAACCTGGTTAATTTTTTTTAAATAGAAATTTTGCCTAAATTAAAAGAAATAAGCTGGCGAGTGTGGATTCAAAAAAGAGGTCAGAGTGATAGAATGTGAACAAGGACTTCACTGGCCTTGAAAATGAAGGGAGGTCCAGCAAGGAAACAGGAAAGGCTAACAGTGCTGAGCAGGGCTGGAAACCATCCCTCCCCTGGAAGTTATAGATAGGAGCGCAGCCCTGAAGCTCTAGATAGGAGCGCAGCCCTCCAGCTACCTCGGGTTCTGCCTGGTGAGATCCTGTGGGATTCCGCCTTGTAGAAGCACAAGATGGAACGTTTGTAACTTTCCCAGATACGGGTATCAGAACATCACATATTAGCCCCATTGTTGAAACGAACCTCCGAGTTCTTCTAGCGCTACTGCGCTGTGGATGGGGCCAAGGCCAGCGAAGCAACTAACAGGTCACGTGCTAGATGTCCCACATACTGCAGAAACAGTGTTTCCATATGGAAACAAAGAGAAGAAGGAGACAAGGGGCGGTTGACAAAATCATCCTCATTTTATGCCGAGGAAAAACAAATTCAGGGGAATAAAGTAACTTAACCAATGTCTCATATTTAGGAATGGATTTTATTTGTTAACGTTCTTAAAAGTATGAAAACAATGCATGCATGTGAACAATAATAAAAAACGTGCTTCATGGAGGCGAGGAGGAATTGATATAAAAATGCCAGTTGCTGGGATGTTCTACGACATTTCTCTTTAACCTGTTGCAGGTAAAACTTAAATCTTGCTGAATACTGCTCAAAGGTATTGAAAGTTTAGATATTACTTATCTAATACTTACTAAGAAGGTACTTGTATTTTCTGTACTCGGAATGGGAAACTCATCTAACACATCATAAGGCCCTGAAGCTAGGATCTGAGTCATACCACCTAGTTGCAGACTCCATGTTTGTGACTGCTCCGCTGGGATGCTCATGGACCTTAGCTGACTTTTACAAGAGAGCAGCTGAGACTCGGTTGGCTCTGCAGCACCGATGAATTTCTAGCGCAGCTGGAATGTGTGCCTGTGTGGGCTCCAAGACCCTGTTGCTTTCTGATACAAATTCCTGTCTCAGACTGGCACTGGCCACCAAAGGAAGAGAACTTGATGAGTGCCCTAGTCCTGTTTGTGGCTGAAGAAAGAAAAAAAAAAGGGGGAAGAAAGCAGGGAAAAAGGAGAGAGAGAGAGAGAGAGAGAGAGAGAGAGAGAGAGAGAGAGAGAGAGAGAGAGAACTTAGAATAATACATTTTTTAACACTTCCATTAAATTTTTTTCATGCCAAGCTTTATTGGAATAAATTTTTATAACATTTTCTTGGCACCATAAATATTAAAGTATCTTTTATGCTCCTATTTCTTAAAAAAATATAGTAGGGCTTTCAACCAATGGGCTGTGGCTTTCCTGGAAGGCTGCTGCACAGCGTGGTTTAGGCCTTCCCAGCAGCTCGGAGAAGACCTGACTCCAGAGCTGAGCATTCCCATCTCACTCTAATAGTGTTGTCTCTGCAAATACTGACCTGAGCCGAAGTTTCCCTTGCCCTTAGCTTTCCTTGATCTCTAGTAGCTGTTTTCACACTACCTAGTCTTAGTCATCCTTTTGTGGTACTAAAACAGGCTGGAGGGAGATAACAGAGTAGCAGGGCAAGTGAGCCGTGGGAAGAAAAGATAACAGAGGAAGTCAGTCCACTCCATCCCAACAGCCATCACTTTGTGAGCCAGTGAAGCCAGCTTGGACTCGTTAGGTAACCCATGAATAATTTCTTGGATGAAAAATATTCTATGGAGGAAAAAAAAAATCCTCACCGTAGTTTGGGTAGGAAAGAATGTAGAATTGCAGGTTTAGGGCTCCCAGAAAAGGAATGGAATGAAAACATTGTTCAAAATAATGAGAAAACAAGGCCCATGTATGAAGGTATCTAAATGTGATTGCTTCACCATAGGGAGCTTCTGGAAACTGACCACCCATCAAGCTAGTAAGGGGAAAACAGTGTTTTGTGAAGTTAGGCAAGAATTCCTTTGGAGAGAGTGTAAAAGAAAGAGAAGCTTGGAAAAAAATAAAGATCAGGTGGATTAAGCAGAACAGAGCCCAGTTTTCCTTCTGAGGAAATCGTTCCTTACTAACCGAATTCATTGCAGACTGGAAGAGGTGAAGTTGGAGAACTCCAGAGCAAATCCCTGTTGAGCTTTGGCTGGAATAAGGACAGCATGGAAGAGCTAGGCTGCCCTCCTGAGGCAGAGTGCAGGGAAGCAGAGGCTGCAGGGTTTGTGGAGCTCCTCAGCCCAATATGGCTGGCACCTTGGATGCTACCCAAACACCCCAGTGTTAATTTCATCACGTTTCCTTTAAAAACTAACATAGATCCATGGTAAAAGTATGCAAATGGTCCAGGAAAGTTTGCACAGGACTTTTATTTTAGTACCCAAATTTTCCTTCTCAGAAGTAACAGTTATTTCTAGTTTTCTGCATGTTACATGCTTTGTGTGTGTGTGTGTGTACGTGTGTGCGTGCATGCGTGTGCGTGCGCGTGCACGTGCGCGTGTTTGTGTGCGTGTGTGTATCTTTGAATCCACCGATGATGTCTATTCCTTTAAGACTTGATTTCATATCACTGTAGTAGTGGGTCTTGGAAGTGATTTTCTTCTTTATATTATTTATTTACTTGTGTGTGTGTGGGGGGGGGGTCAGGGGGAGACCTTGTGCCATGAGAAACCCTGGGCCGTGACCTGTGAGGGTCAGAGGCCAGCTTCCAGGAGTTGGTTCTCTCCTTCCACTATGTGGGTCTTGGGCATGGGACTGAGGTGTTCAGGATTTGTGGCAATCATGGTTACCCACTGTGCGATCGTGTCAGCCCATCCACCTTTTTTATAACTTGCATAATCTTATTTATTGAACTTTCTGGAACATTATCATTCCTGCCTCAAGGCACAGTTGTTTTAAGTATTTTGCCATATAAAATGCTGAAATGAATATATTTGTGCATAGATCATTGTACACACAGGTACTTATAGAAAAATATTTGAAATGTTCATAAATGTATTAAAAGATATATTAATTAAAATTTCCAATAGATACTAAAAGATACTAGATAATAGATACTAGAAAGAGATGGAGTGATGTCATTCTCTCATCAACCATACCTGTGAATACCCAATGTGCCACCCTTTTGGAAGCTTCATTCAAACTGACCTGAGGTGTGTTTTTTTTTTTTTCCTCCCTATGTTTTCTGTGTTTTTCGATGTGATCTTGAAGCCAGTAAGATGGCCTTAAAAGATAGCAGGCTGCTAAGACAGTGTAAACACTTTAGAAGTGTTTATCAAACCCTTTGTCCTGGTGGTTCCAAAGGTTCTCTGAGAAGCCATCAGAAATCCTTGCTTGCTTTGAGGAGCCTTAAGTGGATTGTTGATGGTGAGATACTGTCAAGGACACAGAGGAGGCAGAGCTGAAATGGGGATCACACATCAAGTGTAAAGGTGGGAGAGATGTGGGCAGAGATGTAGTGGGGATGATTGAAAGAATACGGCTTCTGACCCAGAACTCAGAGAATTCATGAAGATTATATTTTTGTTGTTTATACAGTTAAGCACACCTACTGTGTAGCAGACCCAGCACTCCATGGGTGAAATAAGATGTATTTTCTATCTTATGTTCAGTTTTTTTTCTCATCCTTTTAAACTTTTCTTATGGGAGAAGACATGTTTTCTTGACAACTGCAGGTACTTAACTTTAGAGAGGAATGAGTTAAATGGTATGCACTTTTATTTCCTTTATAGTAGACCAAAGTGTCCTAGTAGGCAAGTATTTCTTCTGAGTTTTGCTGCTTTCTATTTCTGCATTTTCTATAGAGCAAAAATCTAACCCTCCCCCGCATCCCTGGGAATCCTTCAGATACTTGGAGATATGTTAAAGTATGACTCATGTCATAGACAACTTGAAATGTAACTGTCTTTCACTTGTTTCTCTCAGCCAAGCTTTGTCTCTTTGAGAACAAGAGAAGACATGGGTAACTCATTCAGAATATTGTCTACCCAAGAGGTCTCTTAATGGCCATTCTTGGACTCCATTTAGCCAAACAACACTTTGTAGATGGAAGATTTCCTGTGTCCCTGCCTACTGGCGAGTGGGACAAATCTCTCCCCCCCCCAAGTAAACACACAGAGGCTTATATTATTTATAACTGCTTGGCCATTATCTCAGGCTTATTACTGACTAGCTCTTACACTTGAATTAACCCATAATTCATATTTATGTTTAGCCATGTGGCTTGGTTCCTTTTCTCAGTTCTGCCTTGTCCTCTTGCTTCCTCTGTGTCTGGCTGGCAACTCCTGAATCAGCCTTCCTCTTCCCAGAATCCTCCTGGTCTGCTTATCCTGCCTATACTTCCTGCCTGGCTACTGGCCAATCAGCATTTTATTTATCAACCAATCAGAGCAACACATATTCACAACATACAGAAGGACATTGCACACCAACACATTGCTTTTGGTACCTCTGTATTTTTTTTTTTTGACTAGTATTCATGGAGTGGGTGTTTAGTTAAGGAAGCCTTTTAAAATGCTATGTGAGTTATAGGGCAAGCTCTGGGGCCATTTTTAATGGATTTTGAATTTTTCTAATCTCTAGACCTTTGGATAAATTACCTCGGCAATGATGCCTACAAAAAAAATCTGAAATTAAAGCATACTGCATCCCTCCACCTCAGGTAGCTAGTCTGTGTGCATAAATTCATGGACATTATCCACACAACACACAGAAGTTCCTTACTGATCACAGCAGCATGCTGAGCCTGTGTCTTCAGAGGTTATTGCCCTGAAAGCTTGTGACTAATTCAACACACAGGCGATCTGAGATATCTTCTCATACAAGAGAAGGAAGCAATTTGTGACCTAACAGGAGGGTTCACACCAGCTGGTCATAGTTTAGTGGGTTTAATTACTGGAATTTCTATATAATAACACCCCAAATGACATCTGGGTTGGAAAGGAACATGAGATTCCTTTCGGGTGAGCAGAATACAGCAGGTTATGCCAAAGCTCTGCTCTGTCTAATCCTTGTGCGGATGCACACGGCTGCAGTGACATTTCTGAGATGGATCTGTACTTAGCTAAGATGAGCCTTTTAATGAAATTGCAAGAGAAAATTGGCATAAGCCACTTTGAACAAGAAAGTAAAATACACACTTGGCACAGAAGAATGAAAAAACACTTCAGCAAAAAAGATCAAAGAATTCCTCCCCACGTCCTGGGTTAGCGAGTGTCCATTTCACTCCTTAAGGAACGCTGAATT